AAAAAATATTGTTGGCACTATTGATTACTGTTAATTTTAAATGTAAAAATTCTATACTACTATTACAGATAATAAATATTGCTTGTTATGTGAAGGCGGAGATAGAGGCAGCGGGCGAGCGCGGCGCGGGCGAGGGCGAGGCGGGCGCGGCAGACGCACACGACTCGGACGATGATATGGCAGACCACTACGATGCGGGAAATTCGCCTCAACACAGGTAAAACAGGCAACAAATATAATATAGATTACTAGATGTTGCTTGCGACTTCGTCCGTGTGAAAATAAATGAAAACAAAAATAAGTAGCCTATGTATTCTTCCAGACTATCCTCGATATTTACGCCGAATTTCATCGAGATCCGTTCAGCAGTTTAGGCTACAAACTCTAATAAACATCCATCCATCTAAACTTTCGCATTTATAATATTAGTAAGATTATAGATAAACGAAAAATCCTCGATTTCTATGTTTGTTATAACTTATTTGTGAAATTAAACTTACCTATATTTGTCTAAAATAATAGAAAAAAAATTAAGATTAATTAAAGTTATTCTCGATAATAAACAATGTAAAATGTAACATTTCAGTTGGGGTGGGTCGCCTCCGCATGAGGCCGGCACTCCTCGGCACATGGACACAGATGAAGCGGACCTCATGCCTCCACCAGCGGCTCCCAGACCACCCTCAGTCAGGCCCATGGTAACATCTTATTTTATACCAAAACTAGGATATCTAGTGAGAAAGACGGTACTATCGGTTCTGTCAAAAATGTAAAAACCCAAGCTACAGTATGAAAATAATCTTGAGACACTCTTTTTGATATAGTCAAGACTGTCCTTTAGAGCTGTCATAGTTTGATTTATGTCCATAGATGATATATTCTTGTCTGTCTATACTCAAAAATGGCATCACCTTCATAGGATACTGTAAATTTCAACGTTAATTAAAAAAAAAATCGTGCTACCAAAACCTTCGTGTTCATAATTTTAAAAATGATGGGTTTTGTAGTAAAATTATACAAACAGCTCAAAATAAATGAGTTCACTTATTATTTCGAAAATATTCATTATAATTTTTGACCTTTCAATGTGAAAGTTGCGACATTGATCTTATATTTTTTATGAAATATTTTATTCGACTATTCCAGGATGTGGATGGACCGGAGGCAGGTGTGGAGGAGCCTGTGAAGGCGGCGACTCCTGCGCCAGCGCTGGACACCACCACGCTGCTCAACAATGACGAGGAATCCTTCGCATTGGCTCCAGTTGATACTACGGTACTTAAAGGTATGTCACTGTTTAAGCGACTTGAAAAGAAAGAGATTCTAAAGAAGTTGTACAAAAGTGGGCCTTTTTTGGAAAGTCAATTAGTAGGAAAACAATTATATACAAAAGATGAAGAACGAAAAGAGAAACAAGAAACATATTTTTAATTTTTTTTTCTGAACCGCCATTTTGTTTTAATTTGATTTTTAAAATGAATTTTTATTCTCAGGATTTACTTAATAAATGACAGGAGATATTTTGTCATAATAAAGAAATACCGTTTTTAAAGCCAAAATAAAACATTGCGTATAATAAAGAAATTCGCAAAAGATGAATTTTATGGCTGTATGTTATAAGTGCTGCTGCCATATATTTTTCTTTAAAAGTTGTCAGTTAGTGTTGTCTGTCAAAACATGACATTAGCTGTCATGCTTTGATAGACATTGTCACTTGCCTTGACGAGAATTTGTTTTCATTGTCGTAAACATTTCAATATTGTTATCTTTATTTTATTATTTCGTATGAAGCTACTCATTTTAACTCGAAGCACTTTTTTTGTGGTTCAATAAGTAAGTATGATGCTATCTACCTTATATATACTGGGGAAAAATGTCTCCAGCTTTGAATACTCAACTAGGGTGAACAGGCCAAAATCGGATTGGAAAATACAGCGACCAACGTATAACAATGAAAACAAGTTCTTTAGTGTTCTCACAAGTAAACGATTATGCCAGGATTAAATAACTTTGAGTGTTAATTAAAAAAAATCCGCGGAGTCTAAAATTCTGTTATGTTTTGTATATTTTTACATTATATCTACTAATATACTTGTTACGAGTTCTGTTAGTTTACAAAACCACCTCCCATACAAAAAATAGACAAGTCCTTTGATGTTTTTTATGTATGCGCAACGATTACAATGATATATATGATCCGATCTTTGTGATTCTTTTTTATTTGAAGCGAAATAACTGCCGTTTGGTCCCACTTTTAAGAAAAATTGAAACTATCCTGGGGTTTTGGAGTTTTTCTTTAAGTAGCAGATGTATAGCGTTGTTTTTTTTTTTTTAAGTAAATTTACGGCATTTAGTTTGTTTTTGCTTATAACTTTATGATATTTCTCAACTTCTAAAAAGTAATTTTATATTAGATCCAAACATAGTTGTTTTTGGTGTACTTGCCGGAGAGTCATTGCAATATTAATATGTGACTATTATACCTTGATATTTTTTTCAGGAATAACGAAAACTAAACGGAAAAGGAAGCTTATTGTCGATGAAGTAAAGAATATATCTGGCGAGGAGATGAAGAACCAGCTCAGCAACACATCAGACATCCTGACGACGCTGGACCTGGCGCCGCCCACACGCCGCCTTATGCACTGGAAAGAGTCGGGCGGAGTAGAGAAACTCTTCATATCGCCCTCCAAGCCGATACCCTCCAAGATATTATTCAAGGTATTATCTTTAAAAAAAGATAGCTTTCAGTTTTGTATTTAGATATCTCTGTCGCACAGCACTATTAATGTCACTAAATAAATGTTTTTTAGTTGTATTGTCACATGTAGTTAAATCTTACTTCTAAATGTATTGCGAAAGTTTAGACGGATGGATTTTTTTTTATTTTCATGTCTCATCGAATTCCGATGTCATTAACACAGGTGTAGAACATGGTCTAGAGAAAGACAAAAATTTGTTAATAGAAAAAGTAGAATGAGATGGTTTCTAAAGTCAATTACGAAAGTTTCCTAATATATTTTGCAATAATTTTAAATATTGGTAATTTTCAGAGATACGAGCGTAATATGACGAAGCGCAGTGAGCAAGAGGAGGCGGAGGCGGCCGCGCGCTCGCCAGACCCGGAACCAGTACGACGTGCTGGTCGTAAACGAAGACATGAAGAGGTAATGTATAGAAAAATGTTTGTTTTCAACCGAAAAAGGCGGTTTTAAAACTTTTTTAGTTTTCCTTGACGCAGCGATACTAATAGGGACATAAACAAAGTTGGTGCACCAATTTAAAACACATTGTAAGCAAACCTCGTATCTACTTTAAACAAAATGAACTATCATACTTCATACTAATATTATAAATGCGAAAGTTTGGATGGATGGATGTTTGTTAGAGTTTGTAGCCTAAACGGATAAACGGATTTCAACGAAATTTGGTACAGATGATACGGATAGTCTGGAAGAACACATAGGCTACTCATTTTTGTTTTTTTTTAATTCCATGCGGACGGAGTCGCGGGCGAAAGCTTGTTTTCTATAAAATTGTCATCATGGCAACTTCTTTTTTTTTAACACACAAGTAAAATTTCTTTGTGCCTATAGCCCGTTATAATGTAATAATATTTTTAAATTCATTTCAGTCTATACAACCCCCGGACACGCCGGGGCCGAGTGCAGATTTGGAGCCTCCGACACCGGTGCCTCAAGAATACGAGCCTTCAGTCGGTATGTACTAAATATTTTATGTATTTACTGCTACGCTATTCATAATATTCATAAATAATCAATAAATTCACACTAACAACAGGTGATGAGCATTTGCTTAAAGGAATATAATAATCTAAGAATCTATCATTTCAAATTAATTTTCATGTATTAAAACCAATAAAACAACATTTATTTTACGAAAAAATTATGAAGTCATACAATATCACTTTGTACATATTTGACCAAATTATCTGTAAAATCAAAATTGACATTACCTTATATGTCAAATAAAAACACAGAAATATTGGTATTTTAATTTTTTCATGAAGAATGAAAGAGATGACTATTTGTACATGTTTCGGCAAGCAACAATTACAAATAATTTGGTCGTATAATTAACAATTTAACAATGGCACGCATGTAATCGCACATTAACCAATGGTAGCAGTGGAGCGCGCGCCCGAGCCGCATTCGCCACAATCGCCACATTCGCCACAATCGCGAAACGACGACGAGGCGCCGCAAACACCGGGTATGCAATCACTTGTACATGACGCCTTATTAACCTATTAATATAAGCTGAATAATAAAAACCCCTGTATACTATACGTATTTATTACTTGCAGCCTTCTGTGTGGAAAAAAAAAACATACGGTCGATTACTGAATTGCTTCTTGAACACACATCTCACTGAATTTGCAGTTTAAGCGTGGCTTTAGCATTTAGGACTCTGTTACATATATTAATGTGTTTTATCTTTACGGCCGTTAGTAACTAGCCTATGTGTTTTTCTATGTTTTATATGTGTACCAAATTTCATTAAGATCACTTACGCCGTTTTGAAAAGACATAACAAAGATCCATACAAACTTTATAATATGATTAATGTAACGGCCCAATGGCCTAGATATCTTTTTTTAACCATATGCTTTTTTTTTTTTATAACATAAGGTGGCAAACGAGCAAACGGCCACCTGAAACCGCCAAAATGGCGAAGCGACCGCTGCCCATAGACATCCGCAATTGCAAATGCGTTGCCTACCCTTGTACGACGAAGGAGGAGACGCACATAAAGAGGATATTTCCCTTCCTATGCATCTCTTCCGCCGTCAAATCCACTTCCTCTTCCTAACCTCTCCTTATAAGAAAAGGGTGGTAAAGAGAAAGGGACTGAAATTAGGCCTCCGGCACCACACTCATCAGACGAAACACGGAATTGCTTCCATTTCACGCCTGTCTTCTGTATGGTCGTGGTATTACACCGGGCGTGCCGGCCCATTCGTGCTAAGATGTTAAAGCGGGCACTACCACTGTTAAGCTATGCTACTATATGCTTACAAAATCCTGTCACTGTTTCATGAGATTGTCAGATATATATCCTGATTAATATAATTTAACGATTCTTACTGCCTTAATTATGTATAAAACGGTTTTACCTGTGCAAGCTTGTGAAATATTTCACAATTATCTATGATTTTTGCTTTGCAGGCGGCATGCTAAGCACATTAGGCCCGCCGTTGACCCCGGGGCCGTTAACACCTGGTACATTACTTCAAGGCGGGTTAACTCCTGGCGGATTACAACATGGATCTATGACACCCGGTAACGAACATAATTTTAAAATATGTATTTCTAGTGGAAATAATTCCGTTTACGTCTGATTAGTAATAGTGTCTTATTTTAGTCCCTTATATACTAAAGTAATTGTGACATCTATGTCATGGGTCTGTTCAATGTTATTACTTGTTACTTGTGTATATATTATTAAAATATACTTTATATGGCAATAAGCAATATTGTGAACTAACCATGTCAATCTGAAAGCGTCATATTTTGACGAATGATTAAGTGGCAAGTGACTATATTTTCTAATTTAGATTTAAAACAAAAGTATGTAAGTTTTGTTTTCAGTATAAGGGTATTTTTAAAGAAGTTGAGAATTTTTTCCTTGTTAGTAACTCTGATTACTAGCAAACGCCCTGTCAATGTCATAAATTGCCACAGTATCCATATATGTGATCCTTAATCCTGGTTGTGTGTAGGTGGAGTTCAGCACGGCTATATGACACCTGCTGGTCTGCAGCATGGTGACACACAGCCCATGGACCTAGGGCTTGGAGCAGGTGGCATGACACCTGCTGGATTACACCATGGTGGTCAGTTACACTCATTTTTATTAACATGTACTAGCTTTTACTTTGACTTCCTCTGAATTAAAAAAAAAGTTACGAAAAGTATATCATGTTATTAGACAATGTTTTGTTTATTGAGATACGCTTATCCAAACTTTTGTGTTTATAATATTAGTATGAAATGTGAAATACAATGAGAAAGTTTTTTTTTTAAGTAAAAAGTAACTTATCTGGCTAGTGGCGAGGAATATGTTGAAATATAGATTTTTCGCCTAGTGGAGTTTTATTCTTTTAAATCCAGGTATGACTCCGGGTGGCATGACACCAGGGTTAGGTCTAGACAGCGGGATGACACCGGGCGGACTGGTCCACGGTGGGCTGACACCGGCTGGTCTCCACCACGGTGGTATGACACCGGGTATGTACATTATTTTATTAGACTATGTCATCATTTTATAAATATAAATCTTGTATAATAATGTGTTTGTTAAATATAATTTGGGCCTTATTATTGTTGTAGGTGGTTTAGACCATGGTGGCATGACACCGGCGGGCTTGCAACACGGTGGCATGACGCCGGCGGGTCTACAACACGGTGGCATGACACCAGCGGGTCTCCAACACGGAGGTCTAACGCCGGCTGGTTTGCAGCACGGTGGCATGACACCTGCTGGTTTACAACATGGTGGCATGACGCCTATCGGCTTGCAGCATGGCGGGATGACGCCATCAGGTAACTGGCACTCAGGTATACGTCACAGAACGTCATAATGTTTTAACTGTTATCTTGAATAGAAACCAAGTAATCTCATTACAAAAACCCTGGCCTGGCGCCGCTTTACTGGGCTTCTTTATTACATCAACTAGTTGCTGCTCGCGACTTTGCTCTCGTGAATTTAAGAAAATAATAAAAAATATCTTTAATATTAGTATAGAAGTATAGATTTCTAATATTCGTCAAGATATTTCTGATCAGGCTTTACTTAAAATTAACGTTTTTTTTTGTATATGTTAAATTAAAACGAACCCTAATTGATGATGGCAACCACTTTATATATATTTAAATGATTGTATTCCAGGGTTGCAGCACGGCGCGCTGCTGCAGCACAGCCTGGAGCAGCTGCCGATGATGCCGCAGGTGGGCGGCGAGCAGGCGGCGCTGCTGCGGCCCGCGCCCCCGGCCCCGCCCCCGCACCACCACGAGCCGCACCACTCGCTGCCCATGGAGCCCCTGCCGCTGCACGGCCTGGATGACCACACTGACTATCAGGTACGTGCATACACCTAGCAGCTACACGTGAAATTAACATGAAGATAACTATCGGATACATGTGGAGTTAACTATCAGGTACATGTGACGACTTCATCTGCGTAAATTGAATAAAAAAATATAGCCTATGTTATTTAATAACATAGCTTTTTAATCCTGACTAAAGGGTTATAACTGGTCCAGTAGTTGAGTTATTTCAATACATACAACAGTCCAAATATAAAAATATATCCTCTTTATGATATAAGTATAGATGTTACAGGTTGTATCACGATGTTTACCTTCACCGTAAGATAATTTACGTGATAAATTTTATAGTAAGGCAATGAGTAACAATTTAAAGCGTCTATTCAAGTGACACATGTTGTATATGTATGGTATTTGTCTAAATTATTGTTTATGTTATAATTCCAGACGGGCATGCAGATGACCAATTTAGGATACGACGACCAACAGGGACATCACAGCCCGCCACATGATTACGATTTACCGCTCAGTGTTGAAAATGTAAGTATTAATCTATATTTATACTTTTTGGAAAAGCTAGGCTGTATTTGGCACAACAAAGCAAGTCTGTATTTAAACATATGTGAGTTTTTTTTATATATTGTTTGAAACTAAATTTATTCATTTTTTAAATATTAGAACACTAACTGTTGCTCGGGGTTTTTCCCGTGTGGAATTAAAAAATAGTAAAAACATCCGTTAGTGATAACGTAGCTTTTTAATGGTGAAAGAATTTTTGAAATCGGCTCCGTAGTTTTTGAGTAATTCAATACATACAAAAACACAAATCTTTATAATAGTAGTATAAATATATCAAAATATATCAAGGTAGATTTTCGGAATCTATAGGTAGATTATTAGTGAGTAGAAATCTCACATGACCCTGTCTATATATAAAAAGGGGAATTATACCCAACCGTCACCCCGCTCTATCCCCACATGGGGACAGATGAGAATAAAAAGTTTCATCAATCCCACATTTTAGTCCTATCACCAATAAGGTGACAGTTGAAACCGTTAAGAAATAAAATTAGATCCAACCGTCCCCTTGTCGCCAAAGGTGTGACGAATGATACTTTATTCTCATCTGTCCATACGTGCAGACAGCGGGGTGACGGTTGGGAATAATATAAAAGAAGGGTAGAGTATCTTTCGAAGATCCCCCCATTCCGAAAAAAAGGTAGATGAGTATAATTGACGTGTGTTGGCAGGGCGAGGAGGGGTGCGGCGAGGGCCGCGAGGCGGGCGAGACGGAGGAGCAGTTCTCGGAGCGCGTGCTGAACCGGCGCGCGGCGCAGCTGTTCGCGGCGATGCGGCCGCGCCTCGCCGCGCACCACGCGCTCGCCTTCGCCTTCGCGGACCTCGCGCCGCCGCACAATAACAGGAAACAGGTAACATTATTCATTATACCACCAGCTCCCGTGTTTATTTCATTATTTAAAAAAATCCTCCCCCTTTGTAATCATCTATATTCAATCTTAACACTTTCTGGTTAATATCCCCATCTTCTCGTCGCATACCATTTTCATACCACGCTAACCTTTTGCTTCTCAACTTTTCCACCATTGGCACAAATTTCAAACTTCCTCTAGTATACACATTCTTAACTATCTTAACTAATTATAACATCTCAGTCACATGCAATCTCCCTTTATTCGCAACTTTCACTAGCAACGCATTTGCGTTGCTAATATTAAAAAAAAAAATTCAAACTTAGTTGTCTGCCAGCAAACCGTTTGTTGGGCTGATGCACGAGACTTTTTTATTTTATTTATTTAATCTTAAATATTCCAAATCGCAGACCATGGTTAGTCACAAATACTACAAATTCATATGTTAATAAAGCAATTCATATTATACAATAATAAAAAATTATCAATTAAAATTATTAATTTTCAAATTGCAGGTAGCTCAAAAATTCTACAGTTTATTAGTACTCAAGAAGCATCAAGTGCTAAAGTTAGATCAACGAGAGACCTATGGACCTATTCTCATATCTAAAGGCGAGCAATTTGACACTGAAGCGATTTAGCTATTATAGTTTATTTATGAAAGTCGGAAACAAAATATCAAGTAGTTGTAAAAGAGGGTAATTATTATAAGGCGATGTGACGCTGTGTTCTACTGGACGGTTGAGCCAAATATATTGTGTAAGTAGAGCCGGTGAGTCAATTACATGCAAACTTACACTGTCGAAAACTTCTTTGAAATACAGACAATATGCTTTAAAACTTACGACAGTGGAATTATACTTTTACACTTTCCCGTTTCGTTTAAAATCTGTACAATCTTTTGTTTTAGAGAAAGAGAATGTTATTTAGTTTATACATTTAAATAAGCTATTAATTTTCTTTTAATAACTTAATATAATAATAAATATTAATTCGGGAATGTATCTTATGGTGTATCTGTTAAATGTAAAACAGGGTATTTTTTTATTAAGAAATTAAAATAAACAACAGTAATGGGGGAAAAATCAACTTTTTATTAATTTAGGGGTTTACTGCATTTTTTAACTGAAAATTGAGTGTTTTTGGTCAATTAGAATGTATATGTTTGCATGTGGCGCGCTCACCGGCGTGTATACAGTTCTCACGGGGGAAGGATAGACTTGTAGCGAATTGCCTTATCTTGTTTTGCTTTAACTTGTAAGTGAAATTATTGTAAACTATTTACGATTATTCTATGTTTTATAGATCTACGTGATATATTTCACACATTTTTATACTAACGGATTTGATAGAGGTATTGACAGTTTTAACGTTTCGATGTTTGTGAATGTGACCTTTAAAGTTTTGATATTTAAATAAGTGTGACAAAATTTGTATGACTTGTATGTAAAAGTGGGAATGATATTATAGTATTCATATATCTTGGCGACTGTTAATTGTAGTGGGGCATAGGTGGGGAGCTGCGCAGCGCGCAGATGACCTTGGACCGCTGAGATATTTGAAAATCGTAATATATTCGTAAAATGTCTGCCCATTTTCACCAACAAGCCCTTAAAGTATTATTAGATAGGTGTGTTTCTAAAGCGAAATACAAAATTAGGTGACACCTACAATTTTTGATGTGAAAATTAAATTCTTACTAAGGGCTTCCTAAATGGTACTGTAGGTAGCCCTAAATAGTAGGGGTTGTTGGTGAAAATGTTCATCAATATTGTTTTTGTTCATTGTGTGTTTTCAAGCAATCCGTTAGTATAATAAGTGTTTGATACTGTATTGTTAAGTGTCACTTTTTGAATCCAAATTCGTTTAGTATCGAGTATCACTCGGACGAAAATTATGTTGTAATTATTGACTGATACGTATTTATGAGAAATGCATCTATTTTTGTTCTCAAGGAAGTGTAGATAGTTAAATATCAGTTTTTTTTAATATTAAAAAAGTGGAAAACCGCCAACTGGATTCATCGAAATAGCAAAGCAACCGGTTTCAATAGACATTTGCAATTGCAGATGCGTTGACGGAGGAGTTGACGCACGAAAAATGTTGTGTCCTTTCTATACTTTCTCTCCTCTGTCAAATCTACTTTCTCTTCCAATTAACTCCTTATAGAAAAGGGGTCGGAAGGGAAAATAACTAAAAACATCTAAAATCAAACAGACTAAAAACATCAGCGGCTGATTGTGAGCTTGCTTATTAAGATATCCAATGTGAAATCTCAGTCTCCGCCTGACGTAATTAGCGCAAGTTTGCCGATGAATCCTTCCACAAAGATCAATTTTACTCCGCGCTCGTCCGCACCGTTCCAGCCGTAAACTCGTGACGTCACAAGATATCTGCAAAGGCAAAGTACGAGTAATACTTACAGTCGGCAGCTGATGTCCGGTTTGTGGACGTTTCTAGAAGGAAATCATTAAAAAGCTTTTCATCCCAACATATTTGTTGTTTTTATATTGTTATAGTGTATAAATATTGCAGGAAATAAAAACTAACGGCTGTTGAAAACTTCATAATACTTGTATATTATACTTTTTTCATTATAGTGTTTTACGAATGACGTTTTCTATAGATCGGTTTTGATAATGCATGGATGAATCGTTGAATTAAATTAAAATTAAATTGTAAAAAATTAAAATAAAAAATTTTGCACCTTTACAATGTACAAAAAATATTTTAAAATGAGTGTGTGTAATGGTAAAATGTTATTTACATCATGCTATAATGAAAAGAGATAAATTATATGAAAAACTATTTTTGAGAATGGTTTATTAGTATCATAGCATATTTTCGTTGATTTAATATCAATTCATAGTCTACTTCTTTTTTACTTAAAGTACAGTTGCAAATATGTCTATAGCAAAATTTATGTATCATATAAATATAGAAATAAGATGAGAAAATATGTTGTTTCGAAGGAAAAATTAAGTAAAAAAAAATCGAGAGATTTTGAAACGAAATACTAATTCCTGTACAAATCTTAGCAATGGATTTTTTACATTTCTTTGAGAATTTTTTGTAATCATTTTTGTTTTAAATTGTGCTTTTTTCCGCCAAAAGGTGTACTTCGGTTTTAGGCTGTTTACTTTTGGTGTTTTTTTGAATCCAAATCCAAATTATGATATAATTATGAAAATAAGCAACGCATTCAGAATGCCAGGACCTGTTTCATAAGTGTAGGGTTAAATTGTAAATCGTGATTTAAATGTTTACCTCTGTCTTTACTTTGATTTAAGATCATAGTATCTTGTTTTTACAGGGGTATCCACTTAGACGCATATCAGACATATTTGAAATAAATTTGTTAATAATAAAATATTTTCTTTCATTTCAAAATACCCTAGATGCTGGATTCGGGAAGGTGACTATTTAAAAAAAGAATCTGCACAACCGATTTATAAGTTACCATTATCGTATACTAGCTGAGGCTGGCGACTTTGTTCGCGTGAACTATAAGAACTAAAAAGTAGCCTTTGTTACTCAATAGTTACGAAGCTTTGTAATGGTGAAAGAATTTTTGAATTCGGCCCAGTAGTTTTTGAGTTATTTTAATACATACAAATCTTTCTTCTCTATAATATTAGATCTCAAAGTAATGGATTGCATTAGTAAAAATATTATATCAGTGGAACTTCACCGAAATACCGATTAATCATACGCGTCAAAGTACAGTGACCTCGACAAGATGTCGCTGTAGTCGAAATAGGACAGGAGCGCTTATTGATTTTGGGAACAGCGCAAGTGCTGTCTAGACTACCTATATGTAAGCCACGTCCTTTATGTAACAAAGTAGGTTATACCTCTTATATACTTTCAATGTATATATTTCCCTCCTTATATTTTAAATTTCTGTTTTCAGCAGAGATATGTACTTGGATTTCGTTGATGCCAACGCCATTTCCGAAGTTACGAGTGTAAAACCTTTTATAGGAATATTTCGGTAGAGAGGACTACCACCAAACTCTAACGACGTGCCTCCTTTTTGTCTTATTTTAAATGTCTACCTACCACTTTTAGGTTGTCAGTGCCGACTTCTATTCTACAGAATATATTTGCACTCCTAGCCAGATTAAATTTTTATGCATATAATTGACTCTTTTCTCATTAACTATCATTTTGAATTTGTGAATGTTAAATTAGATATTTACTATGATCATCAACCAATTGTTCTGCAAAGATCTAATATCGAAGTTAAAGGATTCTCTTTATTGAATATGTTAAATTTGTAACTACATTGTTCAATTTGATTTTAGAGAAAAAGCATCTGTTTAATAAAAAGGCTCAAAAACGTTTAGTTTGTATCATTTAATCGCCCTAAAAATGTACAATACAGATGCCGACATTCCCAAACAGTATAACAAGTGAAGTTGATGACAATACACACGCAATACACGCTAACTGGCTTAAAATATCATCACCTGCCCTTCAACAATTATACTGAGAGATTATCAAAAACATGATTTTTCATAACTCTACAATAATCAGGTATAGGAATAATTGTAGTATTCATTAAATGTTCAAAAACAATGTTTTATTAGCAGAATTTATACTACATAATTAAATAAATCGCATTCCTGATGTTGCACTGGTGAAACATAATTACACAGTCCTTACACCACTATGAGGGTGAGGTTTCCACACAATTGATTCCACGGCCGTCCACTCCAGATAGTAAACACTGAAACCTCGCTATGTCGGATGGCAGTAGTAGTGTTCTTAAAAGTAATTGGCTTAGAAAGCAAACAGCAACAAGAAGGCCATCATAAGACAGAAGAGACCCATGGCTTCTGACAGGGCGAAACCCAAGATGGCGTATGAGAAGAGCTGTTGCTTGAGAGAGGGGTTCCTGGCGTAACCAATGATGAGGGAACCAAACACTGTTCCGATACCCGCTCCTGGAATACAACAAAGTTTACATTAAATTTCTGCTATAATCAATATCAAATACACAATTGCTCTAACAAAACTACCTACAACAAATGGCTACAAATTAAATTAAAACAATCTCACCTATCAATCTTCAGTTAAAATGTGCATGCTTACACAGCATAAATTGAAATTATATACACAAATTACATTTTGTTAAACTAAAAAGCAAATAGCATCAAGAAAGCTATCATTAAGCAGAATAGTCCCATAGCTTCTGAAAGTGCAAATCCAAGGATGGCATAGGAAAATATTTGTTGCTTGAGGGAAGGGTTTCGTGCATAGCCAATAATTAAGCATCCAAACACCACACCAATACCAATACCTGTCAATGAACGTTAGGTAAATGATTACTACTGCAATGCAGAAATGTTACATAAAAAGAAATCAATAAAGCTCCTGTTATGCAATCAAGTTATATAAGATTTCTACCACACCCAAAGTTATAGGAAGCATAGAGTTAGTAACAGCAGACAGTACAAGTGATTTTTAAATGAAAACAAGACAAAAACTTGAAAATGCATTGAAAACTTACCGGAGCCAGCTACTCCTACTGTCGCTGCACCAGCACCAATGAACTTGGCTGCGGAGTCAATATCCTTGGTGACCGCTGTGGTCTGGAAGGCCCTGATAGCGGGCATCTGGGCAGGCGCCGCCACAGGTACAATCTGTTTCTGTGTGGTCGCTGCAGCCAGGGGCCTCACAAGTGCTGTGTTGCTGAAGATCTGTAAACAATTCATTAAATGTAACCTATAAACCCGACATTGACAATGAACTAATAATAAAATTATGAATGAAATCTGTACATTCAAGGATATTTTGATAAATATAAACTGTTGGATAAGTAAATTAAGAAATATTTGAAATATAACAACCTATTATGTAATTATATAACTTTCAATTTGTGATAATGTATTAGATTGATAAGTTTAGCTTTAACACGAATTAAAATTGCAATAAAAGACATTTTATTGAAGTAAAACACTAAAACCATTTAAAAACTAAGTTACCGCCCATCGATGTAAGTTACAGTTGTTTGATATGTAGAATAATGATAATACTTACGGCAGACCTAGCTGCAGGGGCGATCAATCTGGCAGCAGACAGCATTTTTGTTTTTATTAGGTGCAGCGAGCGACTACTGAAAAGACGAAGAATGAATGAGAAATGAGATGCTCTTGCCGGAAAGTCTCAGGGAAGAATATTTTTGACAGTTTGACCGACGACTGCGACAGTTACGTAACTGAAGGGACTACGTAACTATAACCTATCTTATACTTGAAACTGCATAGCAAGTATCGATTTTATACCACTGAATACTAGCTGATATAGGGAAGAATCAATACATTAAAATTATTGACGTAATTGGAAGGATACGGAAAATGGCCGATCGGTAACCTATTATGAAGTTTCTATGTTTTCTGTGACAACTAAGATTTTCACCGTAAAATATTAACACAGTCACCCGCGGAATTCTTCGAAATAATGATTGAAACCTTTTCTGCTCAATGATTCCCTATGATATCAACACTTTTTCACGATTAGTTTTCGCTATTTCTCGACACTTACCAAAGAACACCGAAAAGGAGGAGACCGGCCTTTGGAATGTTCAATATCTGAGTGGCTGACTAGACCGAAGCAAAAATCTCGTACGGCTATTGGTTGAAATGCGCATGACGAGTAGGTTCCGTTGAGAGCAGCCAACTATTGATTATTTTCTGTGGCTGACAGTTACTTGCAAGTCTTTTTATTTATTTTACTTTTAACTTATACAATAGAGGACCAAAACAAAATTCAGTACCCTCTTAAAAATTAATTAGGTTTTATTATAAAAAAATATTTAATATTAGATCTTCTGTAGTTAAAACGAACAGTGACTACGATGGCATTAGTATAGTTCGAACACTGACTAGTGTGTTATCCTCCGCACGACATGGCCGTCTTCATGATAAACATCTGTAAATTTAATGGCTGCGGTATCACATTTCCAAGATTAGCTGATTTAATTGAACACATCGAAGACGTGCATATAGGTAAATATTGTTTGATCATGTAAATATATGTTTTAGTAGCTTATTTTTCTACAAAAAATGGTTCTTGACCCTCCCTATTGTATTTTTATCAATATGTCAAAGTTGCCTACATTGGACTTGTATGTATTCAAAATAGAGCGCGAATTTTTATCATTTATTTATATTTATATGTTAATAAAACAAAATATACAACTACAAAACTACATTAGTTTATATTCCAAAGGACTTTTGATTGATATTGTTGAAATGTCTTATTTAAACTCAATTTTAATGAATTAAATTGGTGATACTGCGATAGAATTAATTCTACCAATGTATTTTTTCAGATTATGATCCCGCAGTAGTTGAACAAAAAGAAGCATCTCAGCCAGCATGTATTCCTTTAAGTTATGTGTTAAGATTTTTCACGGAGGCGTCGAGGCGGGAATTTCAAAGCTTGCCACCCGCTGCCGATGTCCGACGCAGGTTACTCTCGGCTCCTAAGACGCCTTCAGTTCGCAGCAGCACACCTACAGGTAATAACAAAAAGAAAACTGTATGACTATATGATAAATGTTTTATTATAGATCCTTGCTAGCTGATAGGCGTATGTTTTTTAATTTTACGCAAATGGCTAAATTTATGATGATAACGGGATAAGTTGGCTGATGGGTTAAACATTCTTTCGTCTAGGAAGTCTTTTAATAATAAATCATTCTAATTTATTACATCAGCGTTGTTTGGTATTGAAATAAAGTAGATAGTTTTGTGTGCATTCAATTAGCTAAACAAAGTAGCAATACAGAACCGAAAACACTTTTTGTCGTAAACTAGGCTGACTCAAAGAAGGGTCGAGAGCAATTAAAACAGGTGCCAAAAAATAATTATTTACGGGAATTGTAGGTTAGTTTAAATTTTACATCAGAAAATTCACTCTTTTGTCTTTAACTGCCAAAACTATAATTATCGTAGTGGAATTAAAAATCAAAGTATATTTTCTAGGCAGTGAAGTAGATGATGAAGAGATGATGAGTCACTCCGAAGACAGCAATGATTCGTGGACGACTGTCGAGGAGTATAGCTCGGAATTCATCCTGCGATATGGAGTCAAGTACGACAGATTTTTATAATCGTTGCTTGTAGATTTTTTAAGAAGGGCAATGTTTTTGATTTGTTTTTCCGCTATAATTATATACGATTCGGGCACTAAGGTAATAAAATTTGAGATATGGGTGTCGTCAGCTGTTCTAGACTAGATTTATTGTTGCTAGCCTTTCTTACTTACTATTGTAAGAGTTTTATTTTATTTTTTATTAAAAAAGGAATGCATCAATATTTGGTTTCAGTTTTAATAAAAACTGATAAGTAGTTTTTGAGTTATTTATATCTGTAGGGATTGTTAACGTCGAAATATTTTTATATCTGTTTATATTCTCTTGGGGATTGCTTGCTATTGGTGACGACTGTCTGATGCCCATTTAAATTTACCAATAAATAGCGATTAAAGAGACGATTTCTAACAGGATGAACAATACCGCAATCGGCGCGCTGGGAGCGACCGCGCAAGAGAAGCCGTTCGGATGTCCAGTGCCGGGCTGCAAGAAACGTTACAAAAACGTCAACGGCATCAAGTATCACTCAAAGAATGGACATAAGAAGGATGGCAAGTAAGTAACTAACGACTACATTTTGAAACGGCATATAAATATGTAACAGCGTTTTAAATGATTAGACCACGTTTAGTGCGCCCTTTGACCATACTATCGTCCAACTGTTTAGTCTCGCTTTGATTCCTATGAGCTTATGGAGATCCGTACACTATTCGATTTTTAGTTGTGCAACTAAACAGTTATTTGGCCGGAATATCCTCTTTGAACTTTTATACTGGCAATTACCTTTTTTGAAGTATTTTATAGTATCGTAATTATTTTAAATATTCTATGAATTAGAAAATACCCGGTATTGCCTAATTCGGAGCAGTACAAGCAAAAGATACCTGGTCCTAAGAAACGTTTGACAGCACAAGAGTATTTCTGGAAGAAATGGGTATTATTTCCCTAACTTAGATGTAGTCAAAAGATCCATTAAAATTACAATTTGATCAATTTGAAATTAGATATCGTCTGTATTAATTTAAGTAGTTAAATAAAAAAAATATGCGTAGGTCAAGGGGGGGGGGGAGCTATTATTAACATAGCCCCCATATCTTCCCTTGCGTAGCCCATGATAGTTGTTGTTAATAGCATTGTTAAATCCATTAAATTTGAATACTAATTGATTCGGTATTTAACTAAATTATGTAATAATCAATAAAGTAGCAAGTTGAGTAAATGGTGTTTTGACAAATCTCCTCTTTAAAACTTAAGTAACTATCGTGTTTTTGGTGTTTCAGGGTAAAAAAGGCTTACAAGTGCCAATGCGGCAAAAACTACAAAACGGCTCAAGGTCTTAAAACTCATTCAATAATACAGCACATTGTCACAAGCCAAGCGTCGACTTCCTCCTCACCTCCGGCCCTCGCCCTCGCCCCCGCCCCCGCGCCACACGCACTCCCCGCACCCCCGGTCCCCGACACGGGACGTCTCAATGCCACCAAAATGCCAGGCCTGGTCGTCACAGCTTCTCCGGCGCATAGCCGCACTCTCAACATCATAGACGGCATAGATACAAACAAACTTGTTCGTATTTACGACAGCATCAAAACAAAAGATCTCCCTTCCTTCACCATACCTAAGCATAACTTGACCAACATTAATTTGATCACGAGCCAGGGTCAAGGCATCCGTCACTCCGTGCTGCTCGCACCCACCGCTGCACTCGACAAGGCCAAATACGACAGAACTCCCAAAGTAACCGTCAACGCCCAACCGCCAGCCGCTGTGGCGACCGCTTACGACATCTAAAGGAATACGTGCTTTTAAAAAGCATATATTTAACGAATTTAAGTCATTAACGCTAAATCTAGTTTGAACGCAGTTCCTATTAAGAAAAATTGATAAAAAGCGATCATTGATTAGCAAGTTCTATGAGTTATTCTTTGAGAAATGTCAAGGATCGTTTCATCTGTCAATATTTGACAACCGCTAGACTTGAATGTCAGTTTGACAGGCGAAATGTTATGCACAAATTGTATTTATTTTCACTTAAAGACATTAATTAGTTATTTATTTCACGTCGAGGAGTTATTTTACGTTTGTTACTTAGGTATTAATTATTTAGTTTGTTTGCTGTGATTCCAGTAATTTAATTGTTTTTTTTTTATATAGTTTTGTTACCAAAGTGTTTGTAATTTGAAAGGTGGAGAATAGCTCCATGGTATTGGCCGTTTCAATATTTTTCTCGGCTCAAGGTAACTGCGCAGTGCGTTCCCCTGTTGCAAATATTTTTGTGTTTTGCGCGACCTTTGCGATGTTCCCAGCCGCTAAAATATGTAAAAACAATACTTTGCACGATTAATGTGGTGTGGGTGTTTTATTTATTTGAATACTTGAAGTGTGTTTGAAACACAATTACTTAGTCTTTACTGAGTGTACTTAGTAGTACTTTAGTATGTTATTAAATGGAACATTTATTAACATATTCTATTCATAGATTTTGTGTAGTCCACAAAATATACTATTTAAATTTCTTACACCTGTGCTATTAACATTGCATATTTGTCATAAAAGCGATTTTTCTTATTATAAAAAATAAATGTGCTAACATGTTAGATTTTTGTAATTAAATTTGGAAAAATTAACAAAAAATCAGCATTGGCTCTTAAATATCTGCTAGGTTAAAAAATATACTCGTAAATGTGATAATATACTATAGAAAAACTAAAAAAAAATTGCTTATTAGTGTGTAATTACTTGAATGTTTAGTTTTTAAGGCTCAGTAATTTTATGTATATGTTTAAACAAAGCATCTGCATCACCAAATATTATATTATATGATGTAGTTTATTAATTTCCTATTAATATTTTATATTAAAGTTAACTAAAACATGAAGAGATTGTAAGTATGTCAAAATGTTGGTATGTCAAAATTTCACTCAATTTGCCTTTCTGAAACTAAAACTAGACTGACAAGGATATCTTACCTAGTGGACATAAAGCAAACTAAATGACAATAGATCACTAATGTCACTGTTATTGTCTAAAAATTGTCATGAGATCCTTTTTGTAGCATATGTCATATTTCTTCTTTTATGCCATTTTTATACCCATGTAGTTTGTATATAAATTCTGAGAGCAGCGCTTTTCTAATTGGCTAAGATATTCTTGTTAGTATAAAACCATATGAGTTTTACATGTGACATTTACTAAGTGTTTCTGCTAGTGATACACTTTTCCAGAAATATATATTTATTCTGCCTCCATTAGTTCATTCACTCCACTCTAGAGATGAATGATTCATTGTATAACAAGTTTTTCCTGTCATTCAGTCGGTCAAAGTTGAGTAATTTTTTGTCATAGTAGATCTCATCCCTTACGCTTAATAATAATTTTAATATAGAGATTTGAAGTTGATGTAAGGTAAGATTTTTGTAAATTGTTATTGTATGTTTTTAATAATTAACCCTGATTTTCTCAATTTCAAATTTAAAAAGTTTTGAAGATTTTCAGCCAGTGAATTTTTCATTTTGACGTTTTTAAATTTGAAGAAACATAAAAAACTGATTGAGGTGCTATGAGGTATTTTGATGGATTTAAAGTGAGATGGAAATAAAATCTTCAATGACTAATTGAGAAGGGAAGTTGCAAAGCAACTTGGATAATTTGTGATAGCATGAAGATCAAATTACTTTGCATAAATGTAATTTTTTCAACATTAAAAATGAGATTTTAAAAAAGGAAATTTAAAGTCTGTGTCATCTGTGACGCGTTTTTTTTAATAGTTGATATTTCAACTATTAAATTTTTTAATGTCCTATTTTTAAATTATTTCTACTGGTGAAACAAAGAATGTTTTAAATGTATAAATACATTAATTTGTGTCTTATTGTGTAAAAAAATGTTTTATACCAAGTAACATTTACTTTGCATGTTAAACTTGATTGCCTTTAACAAGTTCAAGTCAAAAACATACATTTGTCTGTAACATAATTTTTTTATTCATATTGTAACAATTTTCTATATATCGCTTTTTCTATTATAGTCTAACCAAGAATATCAAATTCTTACCTGGCAGTTAAATTGGTTTCTTTATTACAAAACTTTGTATGCATATAAATTGGTTCAATATTTTCCCGCAATATTGCGAGGTTTATCTTATGTTCCTGCTCAGGCTATAGATAAGTCCTAGGGATATAAAAAAATAGACATAAATATTATAACTTTGGTTCTATGCCTTATTTCTGTTGGATTGTATATCTGTTATAAAGTTTGTTATATATTTTGGTGTATGCTTAGATAATTTAACATTATTAGGTCCATATTTCATTTAAGACTGAACATTTATGATACTGATATTTAATATATTTTTAGACTGCGGCAACACTTGTATTAAACTATGGCTGTTAACTTGAAGGGAATGTAATGCCGACCAAGTAATTTAGTTGCATACCTAATTTAGTAACTATACCTGTATGGACAATGAAAATCTAGTCGTGTTGATTCATTACATTCTATTTTTACAAACAATATCTCTCACTTTGTTACTAAGCTACTAAACAAGTCTAAACTGCTTGATTTACTTGAGTTTATATGTAAAAGTTGACATAGATCTTGCATCTATGTCAACTTTTAGATCTAACACACACTTGTGTACTGTTTTGCTAATTTTTTTAAGTACTAAATTACTTGGTACTCGACTAAATTACTAGCCTAGTTTGGACTAGGCATAAAGATGTAATAATACAAGTGAGACTGTAGTAGTGTTAGGTTATTTTAGAAAGACATGAAACTTTCATTACTCAATATTCGTTTTTGACATAGAAATATTTATGTATTATTTGATTATTATAAATGCGTTATAAGACTCGACTTTGCGATGATTCTAGAGTTAACTATCTTAAGAAAAATATCCTTAAAAATGACTGTTTATAATATTTAATTAAATTAAAAATTGGGCTTACTTTAGGCTTAATTTGGTGTATTTTATTGCACGTAAATTGATTTCTGTTATTTAAATTTATTCAACCATAAACAATCGTTTTGTTTTTATATTGTATGGCGGTTTATAAAAACTTTTGAAAAGTTTCCATATGTGTTATTTATTGTTGTTATAAGATAAACCTTATCGATATTGGCAATTACACTTGTATTTGTGTGTGTATGAAAAATTGAAACTGACTTTCAGATACTGAAAACTTGTATTTTGTTTTTCCTAGTTTATTTTTAACCTCAATTTAATTATACTGGAACACCCTGTATATATAGTCAATATACTGACTTATTTTATTTGTTTTAAATACATTATTGAGACGCTCAATTATTTTATTGACGTTATAAAAAGATTATCGTCGCCTTCTCGGAATAAGAATATGATTCGTTGTCACGTTCCTGAGCCAAAGTACGAGCGAGAAAGTGCAACAAGCAATAGAGAGGCACGATCAAACGAAGTGTTCGACTGGTGACGTCATCAAGTAAAATTATCGTCCGTTTTTGTCCTAATCAGTGTTGATTTTAACTTTAATTTTGTAAATGGTTGTGATATTTTCTTATGCAGCAGTCCGATTGAGAGTATTTATTAATATCTATATAAAAATTCCATATAATTTGCAATAAGAAATTTTTACCTCTCTTATGTTATCCTCACATAAGATTAATTCATTGTTGGAAATTAAAAAAAAAAACATTTTTATTTATTACCTAAAAAGATAATTTTGTAAAGTTTGTTAGCATAGTCTTTGTACTTATTTATATTCTATATTAATGTTCAAACAAAATCAGTAGTTTATCAAGTTATGATCTACTGGATATAAAATATTTTTGTCGACTTGTTTTGGATTTTTTACCTGTATACAAAATTATTTAAATTGATTAAAAGGACAAAAAATGTATCATTTAACATTGATTTCAATATATTATGTACTTAATTTTGTTAAACATTGTTCTTGATCCAATAACAAACTAAATATTGTTTGTACTTCGTTCTTATTACATTTTTTAAATGAATACAGATTGTATAATACATATGTGTATTCTTAAATGTTTGAGTAATCTCGTTTAAATAAAGTAAGAATGCTTATGTTGCTATTGGCGTTGTGTAAGGTTTGTAAAAACAAATACAGTCAGTATCTGATCTTTGATTATAAGACCCTTTTTCCACTGAGCTATTGGTCGCGTGCGACTGCTTTTTATTGCAACATTCGATTTAAATAACTTTTTAGGATAAAAGTCAGCTGCGCAGTGCTCGCCCCCGCATCCCCTTACACCCCGTTCCACCTATAAATGTGCTGACTAGACATTTGAAAACTGATTTAACTTACGTGTTGAATTGTGTTAAAGGAAAAAGGGTCTTCAACGTAGCTCATTTAAACGCTACGTTAGAAATGTATACGCAATGCATGTTGTAATTAAGATTCAAATATGATAAATAAAGCCAAAACTGAGCATTGCATTGCAAATTTTGTTTTATTTCGATGTAGACCTAGAGAGATGGATGGATTGCGTGAAAAGTGACATGATCGAGAAGGGAGTGATGACTGAGATGCACGAGGATAAGGGGGAAGATGATTAGGTTTTAATACATAATTATTGAAGTGCATTAAGAAAATTGCTATTTCTCTACATAAAACAACATAAATTATTTTATGTCTTTATTTATTACATTTTTAATTTATCACAATAAAGCATAAAATAGTTTAAATTAGACAGCAAGAAAATTTCTCTTACATTTTCCTATGATTACAATACATAATAGTGTTTAACTGAGAATCATAAATAATTTTATATTTGATATAGGAATAAATAGTACACTTTTAATAAAATAACCTATATTTATTTTTTATTATTTAATTGCTCTAACAGCGCAGCAATGGCGGCGTGCTGGCTGCTGTCGCGGAGCGGGCATTTGCTCTGCACGAATATTAAAGCGCTCTTGTCCTTCTGTTCGAACGCCACGCGCGCCCCTTCTTCGTACAAACTGAAAAATTAAAAGATGCTCACCTACTTTTGAATTAAAAAACTGTACTATGACACTTAGGGGGGAAATACGAATCGAATTACATCTCTCTAAGCAAAATCAGTTCAGACGTTTAGATTACAAGCGATTACAAAGATAAAATCACAAACTTACATACAATTGAAAAAGATTAAACTAAAAAATCTGGTAAAAACAGCCTTTTTTTAGGACATCTAACTTTACCATGAAAACTCCCAGAATTCCACTAGGGAAAGTACTCGTTTCGTTTCGTTTCGTATTTTAATGCGATTATTTGCTTAGTGGAAAAAGGGTTTATCACAATAAAAATAGCAATAAGTGGTACATTCATAAGGTTTATCCAATCACATTGATAGAGCAAAGGTTGCACTTACTTTAACTAACTTATTAAGTTAACTAACTTACCCAGCTTTAACGTAGTATTTGACTTTAATATCATCCCTGCACTTTGGCAGGTATTTGATAGCCTCGTCCTTGTTGTCATACTTCAGACAGGCGTCGACAAACGGCTCGTAACCGATCGGAGATTTCTTTGATTTAGAGAAACGGTCGAGTTCAGTCCAGTCTTGTCTCTCAGCTAATGTCAGTATACGAAGCCACCAATATCTGTGAAATAACAAATGTAAATTCGTTTGGATGGATGTAAAAAACATCTTATTTTTTCACACATGTAGCACAACACACACTACTTTGGTATTTAGGATTTCAGCAATCGCATATTTTTTAATAAAATTCCGTATAGCTACAATAGTCTACATATTTTCACGCTATTAATCTTAGGTAAAAAACTACAAACAGCAAAGAACCAAGATTGTCATGGTAAATGTTAACCAATCATAAGCCTTAGTTGTCAATTTTAACATTGGCGATTTAAAGTTGTACAGATATAAAAAAGAATATAAAGTCTTTTTAGTTTCATGCGGATAAAAGACAAATAAGTGATTTTATGATATTACGGTACATAAGATTACTTATTGCTATAACGATGGATTTGTCAAAAAATAAAATCGGTGGTAAAGTCCGCTTTAACCACACCACGACCACAGGAGACAGGCGTGAAGTGAGAGCAATTCCGCGTACAGTCTGATGAGTGTGGTGCCGAAGGCCTAATTAAAGTGCCTATCTCTTACCACCCTTTTCTTATAAGGAAAGAATGGGAAGGGAAAGTGGATTTAACGGTGGTGGAGACGAAATATCCATTTTATGTGCGTCTCCTCCGTCAATTAAGGGTATGCCACGAATCTACAATTGTGGTTTATGGGCAGCAATCGCTTCGCTGTTTTGGGAGATTCAGGAGGCCGCTTGCTTGTTTGCCACCTGAAATTTAGAAAAAATATAATAAACTCGCCTTCTATCAGGCATCTTGTACTCGGTGCGCAGTTTGTCAGCCAGCTTGACCTCACCCAGGTCGAGCAGCTTGGCGACGGTGTCGTGCAGGGAGAGGCCCATGAAGCTGGAGCCGTACGTCTCCTGCAGGCTGGACTGCTGCTTGCACAGCTTGCGTAACTCCTCGCATATCGATACACCTGGAATCG